GCCGCAGCCCCCCGTCCCGGCCGCGCCGCACCCCCCGGCCCAGCCTCCGCCGCCGCCGCCGCCACAGCAGCAGTTCCCGCAGTTCCACGTCAAGTCGAGCCTGCAGATCAAGAAGAACGCCATCATCGACGACTACAAGGTCACCAGCCAGGTCCTGGGGCTGGGCATCAACGGCAAAGTTTTGCAGATCTTCAACAAGAGGACGCAGGAGAAATTCGCCCTGAAAGTAGGTGTGGGGCCCGGGAAGGGGCGGGCCGGGCCGGCGGCGGCGGCGGCAGGCGGGAGGTTGGGCCGGCCAGAGTTTCCGGCGCCCAGGGCTGCGCGGGACTCGGTGGCCGGGACCGGAGGGCGCGCGGAGGGCTCTGCCATCTTGGCGCCCGAGCGCTCCCGGGGAAACGCTCTCCATCCTCTCCGCCCTCCTTTCTTCCTTTCTGCGGGCACAAAAGGCCCATTACTCATTGAGCGGGTCGGTCGGTCGGTTTGGAGAAGTCGGAGCTCCGAGGTTTATTTCACCTCGCTCCTTATTTGGGAGCCGGAATGTGTGATTTCACTTCCCTGGGCCTCGCGAGGGCGGCCGCGCCGGCCGGGGAGGCGCGAGGCTGGAGATTCCGCGGGCCGCCGCCCCCCGGCCGCGCGGGGGAGGATTGTTGTGATTCGCGCAGGGCCTCCCTGCCCGCGCCCGCCGGCCTCCAGATGGGCTGCCAGAAGGCCCCGTGCGCGCTCTCCGGTCTGTGGCTTTATTGATCGCTGCAGGCCAGGTCTCTACCAACCGGGAACAGCCACTTTGATCCTGGACGCGGGCGGCTGATGGACAGCAGGAGCAGCACTGTTATTGACGTGGGGAAACGCAGCTTTTTCCTCTTTCTTGAGTGGGTGTGTCAGGAGGGAGTATGATGATTGAAATGACCACACCACTTAAGAAGTTGAACGCAGTAGACTCGGAAGGGTGCTCTTATGGAATGGGACCCAGGTGAAGTCTGAACAGGTTGTTCAGGATCACCGGAAAGGTTTTCTTCCTAGAAGGGTTTCAGGTCAAACCACATCTCTAAAGGTGACAGGGCAAGTTTGTTTTCCCTAGGGTGCCTTAATGATTGGAGGAGAGAAATACTTCCTGTGCTAATATTTTTTTCTCTTCCCCTGCAGTCTGCAAAGCTGGCTGGATTTTAGTTGTCAGATACTAAACTGAGCTGTGTGATTTATGGGTGGACTATTAGCGTATACAATTAGATGTTACAAAAACTTGGTACTTTTTTCTTTCTTTTTTTTTTTTTTTTTTGCGGAACAAGAGATTGATGAACTCAGGCCCTTGCGCTTGCCAGGGAAGCGATTATTCCCCTGAGCCTTCTCCCTGGCTCCCAAAACTTGGTACTTTTGAGAGGACATGTGTCCAGTTGCTGAATTACAAGAACTGAAATTACTTTTATTCTGCTTTTATTCTCAGTGCTGTTAGATTTCTTTCATTTCTTTTCTATAGACCCAGCCATGGCCACCTCCATTGTTGCCTAGTTGACTGTTGGAGTTTACCAGTGCCTTGAACACTGTGGGTTTATGCTTTTGACCTCCTGTTCCAAGATGAGGGGCGGCAGAGGAGGAGGTTTCCTGTTGACTGGCTCTGACCTTGGGGATAGTTTGCTCACAGTTACTCTACCCTTGAGGAAGTGACCTGTGTGCTTTCCAGGAGTGTTTTCTGTCTCTTCTGAGATGCCATCTGCCTTTGCCTGTCAGCAGTGCAGATACTGGCAGTTCTTTCTCTTGGATAGTTGGGAGAGTAAAGACTTCAGAAGGAAAGTGCTCAGTGTCTCCTTGTTGTGTTTAATGTACCCACGTGCACACACAGATGCGCGAACACCATACTCTAGGCTACTTTTGCGTGGCAGTTCAAATTTCTGTCATAATTAATAGGACCGAAATTTGGGTATTTTTCTCCTTTGAATAGTTTTGACAGGAAGAACCCAGCAGTATATTGAATAGCACTTAGCCTGTCCTTTCCTGGTTAGAAGTGGGTGAAGACTGAAGTGGGTGAAGACTGTTTTGACAGGCAGCTTGTTCCCAGCTGAGAAGTTGACTCAATTGTCAAATTGTAGATTTCCCACACATCTTTGTGTTAAAACTTAATAATAGAGGAAGAAAGGAGGGACAAGGCATTTGGTGACGGACAGCAGTGTCAACAGCACTTTCGTATCCAAATATTGGCTAAGACATAATTATAGCTTTGTGGGAATCTTGTTGGAAGAATCCTGTTCAGAGACACGCACCAGAGAGCTTTCCTGATCTTGAATTTTGATTAACTTTAGACTCTGAGTAGTGAAATGATTTTCAAAAGTAGGAGCCTTTTGATTATAAAGCAAGGGAAGAAGTTGTGGTCAGGCAGGCAGGCAGGATCCGTGATCCCATTGGGAAGATGCCTGAGCAAAGGTGAGGTGACCCCTCCTCCGTGCTGAGCTGTTCCTGGGGGACAGGAAGTTTGGTTTTTTTTCACGTTGTGAGAGTTTATTGGAAGTGGTAGCTGCCAAGTGCCCTGCTCCCTTTATGTGGCTTTATGACCTGTTTGTCCTGTGAAATGAAATCAGTGTTTTACAGATGGTCCCAACTTACTTTACCCTCTTGGAGAGCTGGTGTAGAAATGCTTTGGGTGAGTGCTGTGACCTCATTTCATCTCTCCTGCGGAGTTCTGAGTCATGCTCAGAACTTCCAGGCAGAGCTGAAAGAGACTTCAGTGGTCATCTCATCCAGCGCCCTCATTTTGCAGATGAGAAAGTTGTGGTCTGGAGTGAAGGAGTGTCTTGCTCTAGGTAAAATAGCTATTCACTTGGCAGAGGCAGGATTACAGTCCAGATTGCCTGACTCCTCCTTTCTGCCTATTTCCTAACGGCAGTGATGTTGACAGGCAGAGGCTGGCTGCTGCCCCAGAGAGCCTTGAATTGGGGCGCTCCTCTGGTCACAGGCTCTTTGCCTGTTGGCCCCTGGGCACTACTAGGTAGGTATCTGTCACCTTCTAATATAATCCCCAAAGCACCATGAGGTTTAGATCAGCATACCAAGCTTATTTCCTCCCTTCTCCTTTTCTTAGGGAGTGTTTGATATAAATATTATTTGTAGAAGAATATGACATTTCTATTATTACTTTGGCCCAGACTGCTAGTCTCAACCCTTTTATCTATTAATTGGTTGTATTTCTCATGGGGTTTCTTAGCTCCTTCGTGCCTCACTGTATCATGGTAACTTTCAGGTATTAGCTGAACAAATTTAATTAAAGTCTGTACAGCTGTCCTGCTCTGCTACGCAACACTGATTAGTTGAAGCATGTTACTGCTTTACAAAATATGGAATGTTGTCATAACTTATCTCTGTTTATCTTTCCACTTTTTAGTCTGGAGGTTTCTTCTTTTTCCACCAGGCCTCCTTCTTCAGGTCACGCATGTATCTCTGTTATGTGGCTTCCTTTGGCGTCATGAAGGGAAGATGATTAGATCCTGTCTTGGTTGGTCTGGACCCTGTTAGAGGGAAAGAGTCCTCACATCCTTCCCCCACTCCAGGCAGCATCTTGGTCCACACTGCTCATCTTGTGCACCCATGGGATTGAAGCCAGGTAGTGTAGCTGGGTGAGTGGCAGTGTCTCAGGTTGAGGTTTGCTGGGTGGAATGACAACATGATGAAGTTTCACCGTCCAAGCCAGCCTCTTGTATGTCTGTTGTGATTCTGGGTAGTTAATAGTTTAGTGAGCACTTGCTGTATTTTTTTTTTTTTTTGGCTGTAAAAAGTGACCTATAAAATTTTGGAGGTCAAGGAATCTTTCTGAAAAAGACAAATAAACAAATGTAGGCAAGGCTGGTTGGTCAAACATAGTTGCCGTTACCTAGGTGTGTGTGGCTGTTCAATTAGAATTAATAAATGTGAAGGAATGAAACTTAATTTATGGATTCACTTGCTGGCCACATTTCCTGGGTCGAGCAGCCGCTGTGTTGTGGCTGCTAGATAGAGCTCTGTGGAGGCAGGCTGTGGTGAATGAAGTTGGACATAGAGAGCAGAGGGAAAGAACAGGCAGGCAAGGCAGGCGGTGGGGTTCAGAAATGAACAAGTTTTAAAATATGTGAGGGACTCAGATGTTAGTTACAAAGAAATGTTAGGAGTAGCTGAAGTGGAGTTGATGGATTGTAGAGGGAAGGATCCAGTTTCTGTTTTTTGTTTTGGAATTTTGAGGGAAGGATCTGGTTTCTCCTTTCAGAGACCCTGTCCTAGTTGTGAGTGATTGTATGCCTGTGCTAGCTTGGCCCTGACTCGTCAAATGCAGCAAGGCTCCTGCCATCACTGAGGCATTATCACAATTGGATTGGCTCATGGCCCCTTTTCACTTCTGAATTCGGGCTTTGAAACTAATCTGGAATCTGGCTGATGGGAGGGGAAAGAAAAGTCCTCTCAGGACCTCAGGGACACATATTGGTGAGGTCTGGGAAACACTGGGCTTTTTTTGGAGGATGAAAGTATTGGTATCTACTTTGGAGAAGATGTTTTGATTGCTTAGGACCCTGAGGGATAAGATATGTTGTTACCCTTTTCTTTAAGAAGCAGGTGCCAGGGATTGAGAGGAAGGCTTCGGGGAGTAGCCAAGCCTCAGGAAGACTGGAAACAAACTCAGCCCCTGGCTGAATCCTGGACCTGAGGAATCCTAAGGGATATGAACGAGTTGTGCTCGGGGGACTGCCTGACAGTATGGGAAAGAGCACAGTATCTGTGCTAGCCTCTGTCATTCCTGATTCCTGAGCAGCCCTGTCATTTTCTGAGCTAGGAATCTCTGATGGCACAAGACCTATGGCATAAGAGCTGTTCTTTCCTGCCTTTCTGTGATCTGCTCAGGCCCTTCTACAGTCTCTGTGAGGGGCTTTTCCCCCCTCTTCTCTGTACTGCACTTTTCCAGGTGGCTGTATCTTGGTGGGAGGCTGGTGGGCAGGGCAGAATTCTTTGCTGGGGATGTAGCTTCTTTTGTTAATGGTTTAAGGCTCAGGAGTAAATGGAGCCAGACCTTGCAGCAGTCTAGAGCCAATAGTGCCTGCCTTTCTTGCCTCCTTCCTTCTCACAGAGGAAGAGGCTAGGCCAGTGTAAAAAGTAAAAAGGCTTAGCGTTTTACTTGGTGTTGGCCTCTGAGCCATGTCTTAGCACCTAGTTCCCAGATACCTTCTCTTGTCTGGGTTCCTTGGGTTTTTGGTTGTTAGAGGGTGGTAGTATTGG